TAAAGAGTAAAACTCGAAGTACTTAATATACTTGAGTCATATTACTATTTTAAAAAGTGATATTAAGAGGAAGTTCCTGTTGTTTCTCTACACTCAAAATATCTTTAAAAAAAATAACTGATATTTTTCTTTCTTGTACTGGAAAAACAATGAAGAATTTTGTGTCTCTCTTTCAAGCTAAAAACATACTTATTTCTTCAGAGCTGTTTTGAAAGCTCAACTAAGTAACAAGAAAAATTCCATAAATAAAACATACCAAAACTCATTTTTATTAAACAAAACACTGTATAGATGCATTTGCAGTAGGATCTAGTAGGAACAAGTCACATAAGATATCAGTTGTCTTGAAAAACCTTTAGGTTACAGAACTAAAGCAGTAGATATGACACAACATACCACAGCAGTCGCAACCAACGTATTGCTCTCGGAAGAAGTCACCACAGAGGCAGCACTAGGATTTTGTCGATGTAGGATGCTCTGTAGAAAAAAAAACATTGTTTTAGGTAAAAAAAAAAAAAGTCTACATTTGTACATAGTGAAAAAAAATTAACAGATGATAATAAGTTGTTTCTAACATCATATCCATTGTCTAAGAATGTTATATTTTCTTTCGATGAATTAAAGGCATTTTCAACATAAATCAAGTTTTGATACAAGAGTTCCACCATTTTCTTCTTAATTAAGAGGAAGAATAGCTAATCTTAATAAATATCACTTAACTGATGGAAGTTTTTTTAACTCACCAGTGCAACTTGAGGGTCCACGATTCTCATCATCACCTGGGCTTGCAGCAATGCATACGCCAACTGGGGGTTTTGAAGTAGCATGTTTCTGGCTTCGTTAGGGTTATTCTGGATACACAGCTGCAGGATGAACATTAAAGATTTCTGTTATCAAATGAACCTTCAGTATTGAAAATAATTATAGAAATAAAATAATATTCACTAAATAGGAAGCTGAGTTAGTAACACATTTTTCCATCTACCATACTCGTTAAACCTAACTAAGCTTATCTGATGTCTTGTCTGTACATTCTAAACGGTTTACATTAAAATGTTTTCATAGAAAAACAGTCCCAAAAATTCCCAGATTTGTGATTTATTCCCGAGTCTTGTAAACTTCCCATTAGACTCGGGAGCTCTGAGTAACCAATATTGTAAGAAACAAAAACAAACAATTCTATTTACTCGACATTGATGAAAGTAGTTATATAATCTGCTTTGTTCAAAAGTATTTAGCCATTGGCTATTCCTACTTTCAAAGCTTCGTTAATAGTTGTTCAAACCACGTGCTTTGGTGTCAGTGAGGGCTGTAGTAATGAAATAATTACCCCCACAAAAGGAAAATCGCCCGAGAAACAATATATGAATCATTATACTTTCAAGGAACTAAATTTCTTAAATCAAACAAAGATGTATACTTTAGGCTGTCAGAAACGGTATTAAAAACAATCCATAAACTCGTTATTTACGAGCGAAACTCCTCAGAACTGCTTTTATGTTGTGAAATTTGATGTAAAAGTCTGGACACGTAATGATAGAAGTTCTAAAATGTGTTCCTTTACATACTATCAACTGTTCCTTGCTTCATCTCGTTACTATAATGAACGTAGCATGTATATATGTATTTATCTATGTATGTGACTGAAATAATGAAATACAATGTGGAGCCATCTATTGAAAGGCACCACAAACAAAAATCCATAAAAAAAATTTGGCACTTTGGGTATTCAAGATCCAGACAATTAGAAAAATAATAAGGTACGTACAACAACCGCTGATTTATCGCAGAACATAATTTTAAATAAGAGTACTCTCCTCGCAAGAAAAACACGAGTTCATTACTTAACTGCCAGCAACTGTTCTTTAGCTGACACTAATCTTTTCTTAACTTAATTAATACTTGAAAATGTTGGTGAAACTCCGTACTTGAGATAAACGAGGGGTAATTGTACATTTCACCAGTATTAACAAAATCGAAAATTGTTTTCAACAATTCCTTTTTTAACAGTTTATTGTCAAAAGTTTACTACTTAAAAAATTATATTATCAAGTATTTCTTACTTAATCTGCCATCTGTTCCTTACTTATCAATGTTATTTAGTAAGACTGCTCTCAATTGTTCTTATGCATCACTGACCTATTAAAAATATTTTATTTTGCAGCCTACTACCAAATTTTCTTTACTTAAACAATGTGTTAGCGGAATCTTTACTCAAGTGTGTATCGTACTAAATAATTATACCTGACTCAAACATCGTTTCTTATTTTAAAATGTTCCATTTCGTACACATTTCTCTTTAAGAAGAATTCTACTACACTGTCTAAATAGAGAGAGATATATATACCAGTTTATTAGTTCATAAGACTTTATGAATACCCACCTTCATTTGTTTCATCAACTCAAACATCTGTTCGGGTGGTAAACTGGCTACAGCCTTGGAAATAGCTTCTGGTGCTTTTTCAGGTTCAACTTCAGGCCCGTAGGGGCTCTAGTAAGAGGAGGAGATGAGAAAAAAATATGACAACTTAACGTTGAAGAAGAAAAATATAATAGTGTTAGTAATTATTCACTAATCTATGTCCCTCCTATTAATTCATAATTACTTTTATAATAAATTATGATGAAAATTGTTATTGGATACAGTTTTATTTATTTTTGTTTAACTAGGTGACAACTTCTAGAAATCACATCAAACCGGCTCCACGTTAAAGTTTTTCATTAACCTGTTTCGATCCATGCATTCTGGGTACTACCCATAATTAACTTGCGACATCTAATTTTGTAAAAATTATTTGTGATGTATCTCTTTAAATTTCCTACAAAATAAAATTTTAACTGTAATGTTGAGATTTAAAATTTTCTTTTGATGTACGTTTTATTAACTTATGTTTTGGACGATTATTAAGGATATTGATAATATAGATCCATAAAACGTTTTTGTGCTTAGCTATGAAAACAATAGGACAAGGGGTCATAAATTTAAATTTTGGCAGCGTAG